CTGAGACTAAAAAGACTAACCATGCCAAGCATTGGCAAGAATGTGAGGTGTAATCTATACTGAACAACAAGGACTCTCTTATATTGCTGGTGGGAGTGAAAAATGGCACAACTGCTTTGGAAAATAGCATGACAGTCTATAAAATGTTAAACATGAAATCAGGCAGTGGCATACTAATGCCAGGTCATACCAACTCAAGAGAGTTAATTGTGCTCAGTTCTTCTCAACTTCTTGTCCAGTGATATCACGTTGGTAGTTTGAAATTAGCCATGGTGGGAATATTTTCACCATGGAAACTGGCAAATGTTATAACCAGAGTTTTTTTGGTTGATTAATTTTTTGGGGTGAGGGAAGGGTAGTTTCAGCACACCCTGGGACCCAGTCATTCTATTACTAGATATTTGCTTAACATAAATAAAAGCATTTATATCCTGACAAAGACTTATACATAAGTAGTCATATCAACTTTACTTATTATTGCTCCCACACTAGAAACAACACAGTATTCATCAACAAGTGAATGGATAAACAAATTGTAGATGTCTATACAATGGGATACTACTTTTTAATGAAAAAAGAAGTGATACAAGCAACAATATAGATGAACCTCAAAATGTTATTTCTGAATTAAAGAAACTAAACAGAAAGAGTACTTTGTTGTTCTTAGGTGCCTTCAAGTTGTTTCCAACTAATACCGACCCCATGCACAGCAGAATGAAACACCGCCTGATCCTGCACCAGCTCCATGATCCCTGCTATACTTAAGCCCATGGTCACAGTTACCTTGTCAATCCATCTCCTTGAAGGCCTTCCCCTCTTTCATCGACCCTCCACCTTACCAAGCATGACATCCTTCTCCAGGGAATAGTCCCTTTTGACAACACGACCAAAGTAGGTGAGACGAAGTCTGGTCATTTTTGCTTCCAAGGAGCATTCTGGCTGCACTTCCTCCGGGACAGATCTGTTAGTTCCTTTAGCATTCCATGGTACTTTCAGCATTCTTTGCCAGCACCACAACTCAAAAGCATCAACTCTTCTTCAGTCTTCCTTATTCATTGTCCAGCTCTCACATGCATATGAGGTAATTGAAAATATTATATAATTAATAATATTTATAATATTATATAATTGTGTCAGGTGCACCTTAGTCCTCAAGGAGACATCTTTGCTCCTCAGCAGTTGAAAGAGGTCCTTTGCAGCTGACTTGCCCAGTGCCGTACGTCGTCTAATGTCCTGACTGCTGCTTCCATTGGTGTCGATTGTAGAACCAAGCAATGTGAATTCTTTGACAACCTCAATCTTTTCTCCATTTATTGTGATGCTGCTTATAGGTGCAGTTGTGAGGATTTTCATTTTCTTTATTTTGAGATGTAACCCATACTGCAGACTGTATTCTTCAATCTTTATCAGTAAGTGCCTCAAGTCATCCTCACTTTCAGCAAGCAAAGTTGTGTCGTCAGCATATTGCAGGTTGTTAATGATTCTTCCTCCAATCCTGATGCCACATTTTTCTTCATGTAGTCCAGCTTCTCAGATTATTTGCTCGGCATATAGATTGAATAAGTATGGAGAAAGAATACAATCCTGACTCACTCCCTTTTTGATTTTAAACCATGCAGTGTCCCCTTGTTGTGTTTGAATGGCAGCCTCCTGGTCTATGTACAGGTTCCTCATGAGTACAATGAAGAGTTCTGGAATTCCCATTCTTCTCAATATTATCCACAATTTGTTATGATCCACACAATCAAATGCCTTTGCATAGTCAATAAAACACAAATAAACATCTTTCTGATATTCTTTGTCTTGAGCCAAGATCCATCTGACAGCAGCTATGATATCCCTTGTTGCACATCCTATTCTGAATCCAGCTTGCACCTCTGGAAGTTCTCTGTCAATATACTGCTGCAACCATTTTTGAATTATCTTCAGTAAGATTTTACTTGAGTGTGATATTAATGATATTGTTCGATAATTTCCACATTCTGTGGGATCACCTTTCTTTGGAATTGGTACATAAATGGATCTCTTCCAGTAAGTTGGCCAGGTAGCTGTCTTCCAAATCTCTTGGCATAACTAAGGGAGTGCTTCCAGTGGGACATCTATTTGCTGAAATATTTCAATGGGTATTCCATCAAATCCTGGAGCCTTGCTCTTCACCAATTCCTTCAGTGCAGCTTCGACTTCTTCCTTCAGTACCATCAGTTCTTGATCATATGCCACCTCCTGAAATGGATGATGATCTAGCAGTTCTTTTTGGTACAGTGACTGTATATTCCTTCCATCTTCTTTTGATGCTTCCTGCATTATTCAATATTTTGCCCATAGAATCTTTCAATATTGCAACTCGAGGCTTAAATTTTTCCTCAGTTCTTTCAGCTTGAGATATGCTGAGCATGTTCTTCCTTTTTGGTTTTCAAACTCCAAGTCTTTACACATTTCATTACAGTAATTGGCTTTGTCTGCTCGAGCTGCTCTTTGAAATCTTCTGTTTAGCTCTTTTATCTTGTCATTTCTTCCACTTGCTTTAGCCACTCTCCTCTCAAGGGCAGATTTCAGAGCCTCTTCTGTCATCCATTTTGGTCTTCTCTTCTTTTCTTGCCTTTTTAGTGACCTCTTGCTTTCTTCACAGATGATGTTCTTGATGTCTTCCCACAATTTTTCTGGTTTTCGGTCATTGGTGTTCAATGCATCAAATCTGTTCTATAGATGGTTTCTAACTTCAGGAGGGGTATATTCAAGATCATATTTTGGCTTCTGTGGACTTGTTCAAATTGTCTTTAGCTTCAAGTTGAACTTGCATATGAGCAGTTAATGGTCTGTTCCACAATCAGCTCCTGGTCTGGTTTTGGCTGAAGATATTGAACTTTTCCATTGTCTCTTGCCAGATGTAGTCAATCTGATTCCTGTGTGTGCCATCTGGCAAAGTCCACGTGTACAGCCACCACTTGTGTTGTTGAAAAAAGGTATTTGCAATGAATAAGTCATTGGTCTTGCAAAAAATTCTACCATGTAATATCTAGCATTATTTCTGTCACCAAGGCAAAATTTTCCAACTACTGGTGATTCTTCCTTGTTTCCAACTTTTGCATTCCAGTCACCAGTGATAATTAACACATCCTGATTGTCTGTTTGGTCAATTTCAGACTGCAGAAGTTGATAAAAATCTTCAATTTCATCATCTTTGGCTTTGGTGGTAGGTACATAAATCTGAATAATAGTCATATTAACTGGTCTTCCTTGTAGGTGTATGGATATTATCCCATCCCTGACAGCATTATACTTCAAGACAGATCTTGAAACATCCTTTGTGATGATGAATGCCATGCCATTTCTCTTTAAATTGTCATTCCTGGCATAGTAGATCATATGGTTGTCTGATTCTAAATGGCCAAAACCAGTCCATTTCAGCTCACTAATGCCTAGGATATCAATCTTTATGCTTTTCATTTCATTTTGACAACATTGAATTTTCCTAGATGTGCTTCTTAAATTCCATATTCTGATTATTAATGGATGTTTGCAGTTGTTTCTTCTCAATTTGAGTCATGCCACGTCAGCAAATGGAGGTCTCGAAAGCTTTACCTTATCCATATCAGTAAAGCTGGTTTTACTCTGATAATGCAGCTCTTTCCCAGTTGTGTTTTAAGAATCTTCTAACCTAAGTGACTCATCCTCCTCCTCTGTATTGGACAATGTTTGGGCTATTTATAAACTTGTGCAGTAATGTATCAGATAGTGTTTCTCTGCTATTCATAAGGTTTTCCCTGGCCAATTCTTTGAGAAGTGGATGGGCTCTTCCTTCTTCTTAGTCTGTCTCAGTCTGCAAGCAAGGCTGATACCTGTGTACCATGTGCACCCCGCTGGGTTTGAAACACCAGTGGCGCAGCAACACATCACCAAAGTAGGACAAACTGACAGACAAGTTTGTCTCCCTTAGCTGTTTGAAACGTGCCTTTACCTGGATCCCTGCTGCTGCCTCCTCACTCTGTCCTGGCCCCTCTGACCTTTTCTCCCATTTTCCCACCTTGCCACTTGCAGGGCATGGCCTGGGTTCCCTCCCCTTACCTGGATGCCTGCTGCTGCCTCCTTGCTCTCCTGGTCCCCCTGGCCTTTTTCTCTCCTTTCCCCCTTGTCGCTTGTGGGGTGTGGCCTAGGTTCCCTCTCTTTACCTGGATCCCTGCAGCTGACTCCTCCAAAAATAGTACATACAATATAATTCTATTTATGTAAAATCCTAGAAAATGACAATCTATAATGACAGAAACCACATGCATGGTTGCCTGGGAATTGGTATGTGTGACAGGAAAGTTCAGGATATATAGGGACACAAGGAAATTTTTTTGAATGATGAGTATTTTTATTATTTTGATTATGGTGGTGGATCTATTTATCTATCTTTCTGCCAAAATTTAACAAGCTGCGTGCTCTAAAAATGTGCAGTTTGTTGTATATCAATTATGCCTCAATGAACCTGGAAAAAAATAGATTAACATGACTACCTTCTGACCAGCAGGATGATGCAGTGTTTAGCTTAGCAATGATGAAAATGCATGTCAGATCAAAACCTCTGGTAACTCATGAGGGTTAATCTTGCAGCGTCTTAAATTTTCTACCATTGCATTTACACACACATTTCTTGTTCTCTAATTTTCCTTGATTTTAGGATAGTAACAAACAAGGAAATGGGATAAAGAAACAGCAAGAAGAGAGAAACAGAAAGTATAGGTGTAGCTCATGGACCCAGGACTTTGGGCTCTGAATGACAAGGACCTGACTGGAAGAATAGCTCCCCACTTTGTTTTGGAGCAACAAGAACTGAGACCAGGTCCTGTTAGGGCACACTGGATGATGTGGTACATTTGCCATAGAGCAGGGTGTGTAAGGATCTGGGAAATTCCTTTTTTTGCCCCTATTATCTCTTTCAGCATATAATGGTAGAAATCTACAATCCTGGCTTTGAAAATTGTCCCAGCCAGATGAAATTGTACTCAATTACTTACCATAAAGAAGACAACACTGGAATGGCTGCCAATTTCACTGAGAGAAAAAAAAGAGAGAGAGAGAGAGAGAGATTCCTTTTGGGATCATCTTGGGAAACTTTTGACCAATATCTCCCCTTACCTGGGAACTCATCTTCCAAGTTCCTTAGTTCAGTCTGCCCAGCTCTTAATCCTTACCTATCATTTCTCCTTGAAAAGACAATCCAGCCACATGATACACTAAAGTACTTTAGCACCCCATACACCCTCTGCTGTTTTGTATCTCTCTGCCTTTGCATATTTTGGGTCTTCTGCCTGATGGACCATTTACTTCTCACCACACATTACCTATTCCTACTCACATTTTTAAGACTCAACAATCCAAAATAGTGGCTGAGGGCTGAGATCAAGTCAAACTACCTACAGCCAAGATATTCAAAAACAAACAAACAACAAACAAAAAGCACAACATCAATAAAAAACTGGCTCTAAGCATCAAAAGACTGTCAAGCTTGGGTAAAATAGTAAGTTTTTGTTGGGATGCGCTATATGGTTTCAACTGTGTACACCAGTAACATCTAAGCATGCCTGTGAATGATGACCTCTACTCATCTGAACAACCTCTATGCATCTCTTAAGAATCACCTTCTCCTTGTAATTCTCTCTGCTTCCCCCAGGACCATAGAAAGTTGGCTCAAATGTCCTTCCTTGATGCTCTTGTAATGCTTTGCATATATGAATGTAATTAATTATTTTATGTCTGTCTCCTTCCCGACCTTGAGTTTCTGGAGGGTAGGCAACATGACTTCTCTATCCTTTGACCTCCAATGTCTACCATAAAGATTCTCTTTATCTGTTAATGGGCATGGGGTGGAAGAAAGGAGGGATGATCTCCATATAGACAGCCATGTGGTCTCCTGCTCTCTCTCCCTTCTACCTGGGTGGCAGAGACCCTGTACTCCCCCATTTTGCTCTCCTTGCCTTCCCTGGATCTAGAGGGCCCCAACCTCCCAGAGAGGGCTTGAATCCTTACTAAAAGATGTGTTTTCTGGAGAAGACCCTAATAATGAATTCCAACTCCTGGTGGGCCTTGGATGTGCAGGGCACAATGAGGTATCTCCCTGGGTCCAGCCATAGCTCTTGGCTCACTTCTTTCTCCATTTTAAATGTCACAGGTTGTTTCAGTGGAGTATTTTCCCAGAAGAACATGGGGGGCAGTCTCCTCTGGTCACTGTAGCACTGTGAATGAAGGAAGAAGAGTCCCAATTGAAGTGATCACCCTGAGTTTGTGGCCAGACCTGAGTGCCTTGGTCAGGAGCCAGGAATAAGTCTACTTTGACAAGCCAAATTTAATCTATCTCAGTAGAATATGGGAACAAGGGCTGAGGAGTGGTGGTGGGGAGAGGAGGGACAACAATACTTGGGGATGGCACTTCTGCTGGAATGCTATCAGGACTGACATTGTGTCAAAACAGCATTGTGTACAAAATGATGTGAAATATGCTATTGTACCTGTTATGACCACTTTGCAGCTGAGGATTTTGAGGCTCAGACAAGGTCGGTCATCTTCCCAAAGTCACCCAGTTAGTAAGCATCCCAGCCAAGACTGCAGTTGAGGACAGCTGAGTCCCAGTGCCCATGTTCTTTACACTACCTAATGCTGCTTCCTTGTACGTGATGCAAGTTCAATGTTATTAATATTTATAGTCAGTTATACAGATGGACCAGTAACCAGCTCCTTAGCTATATCGTGGAAGCTACATGCAGACAAACTGGATATTCTTATCATCTCATTAAAACAGTCTCAGAAAGGGATAAAGGAATTCAACAAGAGCTCAGAAGGCCTGAATCAGAGCTCTGATTCTGACATTGTCTTCGGCATGTGGCATGGGTTTTGTTTTCTTATTGATATTCATTCTCTCTCTCTCTCTTCCTTTCTCTTCTCCTCTTTCTACCTCCCTCTCTTTGTCCTCCTCCTTTCTTCTTCCCTGCCTTTTCTCTTTTCCTTTCTATCTGCATCCTATTTCCCTTGTCCTCTTTCTTGCTACCTCTCCTCTTTGCTCTCTCTCAGGGCTGTAGAGGAGGTAAGGTCCATACAGGGATATTCTCTCAGTTTATACACAACTCTAATAAAGACATTACCCATCTACATTAAAAAAAGAAAGAAAAAAACTTAGCAGATTCCATTCAGGGCTAGGAAACAAAATGCATCTCCTGATGAATCATACTTTCTTTCATCAGACAGTGAGAACTAGGGAATCATCCAGTTGACTCTGCCTTGGCTGCAAGCATTCTCAGAGTTAAACTTTATGGTTAGCCATAGTAGCTGCCTAGGTTGAATTTTTCTGGTGAAACCAACTGCTTATGAATCCTCCATTCATTTATTACTTTTCTCCTGCCTTTTTAATTTTGTAACTGGCTTACAGTTTTGCTCTGTTTACACTTTTTAGTGTTGGTTGACCTAAATTCTATTTAGAAGTAGGTATGATATAAATAACATTTTCCTTTTTAAATTAAGAGGCATTAGGAGCATTCATTGTTTCCATAAGAGAGGGGGGAAAAAAAAAACCCACCAAGGCCCAATGCAAAATAGTTTCTTTATAAATTGTTTTTACCCAATTCAATCCAACCAGAGAAAATAAAGTTTTTCACTCCTGTTATTCCTGGGAAACAAAATAATAGCTGCCAATCTTCTGAGACTGAGACGCCGCGTGCCTTCCTAACTAACCCCTCCAGTCTGTGCTGCAGCTGCAACACAGAGTTGCTACTCTCTCTCTCTGTCCACATTCCTGTCTCCTTTTCCCAAGTCTTTATCCCTTTTCCCAGGGAGGTGAAGGCATAGTCGCATAGTCTCTTGACATCCCAAATGTTACAGGCTTCTATTTTACAGCTTCATAACTTAGGCAAGGTTGTGATTTATCATCCTCCTTATGCTGTGACAGTCTTTAATATTAGCCCTAGGTATTTATGCAGGGATTTAATAAATTTGAAATGCATGTGCCAAGCCAGTCTCAGAGACCTCCCTACAGACACATAAGTATTTCTTGGAGTCCTTGGATAAAAAAGAATAGCAGATGTCCTTCCTGCTACACACACAGGCAGCTGGCATTATCATCAGACCTTTTTATAACTTCTTCCATAAGGCTGCTATAGCCAAACCACACCTCACAAGGGATTGGCCAGGTGTAACATCACCCCAAACCATGGCTAGTGGGTCAAGGTTGGAACTCACCTCGTGCATCTGAAAAATAAGAAAAGAGAGAGTGTATTAAGCAAGGAATCTGGATCTTTCACAAACTCAAATCCTACCAGAAGGTGATATATAAGATTCCATCCGGATGCAGTAACCCCTCCCATGAGTTCTGTTATTCTGATCAGTGCTTTTCTAACATAACATCTGAAATTCTGGAAAAGGGTGAGGGAAGGACCCGTTAGCTTCTTGGGAGAGGAAAAGGAAACTAACATTGATTAGGTATCAATGAAATGTCAGGCCCACCACCCATCTATCTTTCATACTGTGGTGACTTGCATGTTGCTGTGATGCTGGAAGCTATGGCACCAGTACTTCAAATACCAACAGAGTCACCCATAATGGACAGGTTTCAGTGGAGCTTCCAGACTAAGACAGACTAGGAAGAATGATGTGGTGGTCCATTTCTCAAAAAAATGGCAACTGAAAACTTAATGAATAGCAGTGAAACATTGTCTGATATGCTGCCAGAAGATGAGCCATTCAGGTTGGGAGGCATTCAAAATATGAGTGGGTAAGAGCTCAAAGTAGCAGTCCCCTTCTAAGTAGAATCAATCCTAATGACATGAATGGAGTAGAGTTATTGGGACCTTAATTTACTGATGTGGCAGTACTCAAAATGAGAAAATAAATAAATAAATGCAATGTTAGTAGTTGGAACATGGAATATATGAAGCATGAAAGTAAGAAGATTAGAAGCTGAAAAAAAAAAAATGAAATGGAATGCAAAAAGATCAATATCCTAGGCATAACGAGCTAAAATGGACTGGTATTAGAATTGTAAAGGAATAACATCACATTCTTTGTTAAAAAGAACACTTCAAGATCTGTCCTGAAGTACAATGTTGTCAATGATAGGATAATACCCATATACCTACAGGGAAGACCACTCAATACTACTATTATTCAAATTTACACACCAACCACTAAAACCAAAGATGAAGAAATTGAAGAATTTTACCAAATTCTGCAGTATAAAATTGACCAAACATGCTATTAAGATGTATTGATAATTACTGGTGATTGGAATGCAAAAGTTGGAAACAAAGAAGCAGCATTGGTAGTTGGAAAATATGGTCTTGGTGATAGAAATGACATTAAAGATTGCATGATAGAATTTGGCAAAATGAATACCTATTCACCACAAATACCTTTTCTCAACAACATAAATGGACCTTTTGATTTCCTGTGAATACACAGGAATCAAATGGACTATATTTGTGGAAGAGATGAAGGAGAAGCTCAATACCATCAGTCAGAACAAGGTCAGGGGCTGACTGTGGGTCAGACCATCAATTCCTCCTGTGTAAGTACAAACCAAACCAAACCAAACTCACTGCATTTATCGAGTTAACTCTGACTCATACGACCCCTCCTTGGGTTTCTGAGGCAGTATCTCTACAGAAATAGATTGCCCAACCTTCCTTCCGAGGAGTGGCTAGTGGGTTTGAACCACCAGCCTTCTGGTTAGCAGTCATATGGCTTAGGCACTATGCCATCAGAGCTTAAAACAAGTCCATGAGAGCCAAAATATAACCTTGAGTATCTCTCACCTGAATTTAGAGACCATCTGAAGAATAGATCTGAGACATTGAATACCAGTGATGAAAGACATGACTAGTTGTGGGATGACATCAAGAACATCATACATGAAGAATGCAAAAGGTCATTAAAAAAAGACAAGAAAGAACAGATCAAAATGGATGTCAGAAGAGATTCTGAAACTTGCTCTTGAACATAGTGTAGCTAAAGTAAAAGAAGAAATGATGAGATAAATGAGCTGAACAGAGATTTCAAGGGGAGTCTCAAGAAGACAAAGTAAACTACTATAATGAAATGTGCAAAGACCTGGAGTTAGAAAATCAAAGGGGAAGAACACACTTGACATTTTTCAAACTGAATAAACTGAAGAAAAAAAATCAAGCCTTGAGTTGCAATATTGAAGGATTCTATGGGCAAAATATTGAACAATTCAGGAAGCATCAAAAGAAGATAGATGGAATATACAGAGTCACTGCACCAAAAAGAATTGGCCAATGTTCAAGCATTTCAGGGGGTAGCACATGATCAAGAACCAATGGTATTGAAGGAAGAAGTCCAAGCTGGCTGACAAAATTGGCAAAAGGCTAGGTTCCAGGAATTGACGGAGTATCCATTGAGATGTTTCCAAAGTTGCAGAGCTAGAGGCACTCAATCATTTATGCCAAGAAGTTTGGAAGACAGTCATAGTTAAGCCCATTCCAAAGACAGATGATCCAACATAAAGCAGAAATTGTCAAATGGTATCATAAATATCAAATGAAAGTAAAATTTTGTTTAAGACAATTGAAAAACAGTTGCAGCAGCATATTGACATGGAAAAGCCACAAATTCAAGCCAGATTCAGAAAAGGACATGGGATGAAGGATATCATTGCTGATGTCAGATGAATTTTGGCTGAAAGCAAAGAACACCAGAAAGATATTTACATGTATTTTATTGACTATATAAAGACATTTGACTGTGTGTATCATAACAAATTATGGATAACATTGCAAAGAATAAGAATCCCAGAACACTTAATTGTGCTCTTGAGGAAACTTTGTACATAGACAAAGAGGTAGTTGTTCACGCAAAACAAGGGGATCTTACATGGTTTAAAATCAGGAAAGGTATACATTAGGGTTGTATCATTTCAGCATACTTATTCAATCTGTATGCTAAGCAAATAATCTGAGAAGATGGATTATATGAAGAAGAACATGGGGTCAGGATTGGAGGAAGACTCATTAACAACCTGCAATGTACACATGACATAACTTTGCTTGCTGGAGGTGAAGAAGACTTGCAGCACTTACTGATGAAGATCAGAGACAACAGCTTCCAGTATGGATTACACCCCAAAATAAACAAAACAAAAATCCTCACAACTGGACCAATAAGCAACATGGAGAAAAGATTTAAGTTGTCAAGTATTTCAATCTAGTTGGATCCACAATCAACACCCTAGAAACAGAAGTCAGGACATCAAATGACATATTGCACTGGGCAAATCTGCTGCAAAAGATCCATTTAAAGTGTTAAAGAGGAAAGATGTCACTTTGAAGACTAAGGTGTGCCTGACCCAAGCCATTGTAGTTTCAATATCCTCATATGCATGTGAAAGCTGGACAATGAATAAGGAAGGTGGAAGTAAAATTGATGCATTTGAATTGTGGTCTTGGTGAAAATATTGAAAATAACTTAGACTGCCAGATGAATGAACAAAACTTGTCTTGGAAGAGGTATAGCCAAAATACTCCTTAGAAGCAAGAATGGCCAGACTTTGTCTCATGTACTCTGGACTCATGTACTCAGTCCCTGGAGAAGGATATCAGGCTTGGTAAAGTAGAGGGCCAGTGAAAAAGGAGAACACCCTCAAGGAGATGGATTGACACAGTGACTGCACTTGTGGGCTCAAAGCATAGCAAAGATTGTGAGGATGGAGTGGGTCCAGGAAGTGTTTCATTCTATTGTGCATGGGGTTGCTATGAGCTGGAACCAACCTGATGGTATGTAACAGCAACAACATGTGCCAGACACAAAGATGAACACTCCAACGTGATCCTTTTATTCTAAACTTTGTATAAATATTATGGTCTCCATTGCACAAATGGGGGAACTGACATACAAGGGCAAAGAGGTGACTTGTTCTAGATCATGTATCACAAGGGGTAGAGCCTGAATTCAAACCCAGGTTTGTGTACAGAGATGGATGATAAAGAGGACAGGAAAGAAAAAGAAGCGATGAGCTGGACTTCCAGTGAGATAGTGGAATAGGCAGACAAGCTATTCAGACCCTCTGTAAAAAAGAAATGAGAAACCAACTGAAACAGATAGATACAGCAGATAATCCTGGAGTTCTGAGCTTTAAAGGGAAGGATAAAGAAGTGGATTAAATATCAACTAGAAGAAGAACCTGAATGAAAACAGCAAATAAGGAGACAAAAAGAGTTGCAGACTACCAGCTGTCCTGATGACATGGCCAATTCGAATATTTACAAGTGGTGTTCCCATCCAGGTAACAACCTAAGAGTAGGCTCTGTTTGCAGAGGGCAGCATTAGTAACCATACTGGAGGCTAACAACTAGAAAGGTGCAATACTCCCTTTGTGACTCTTGTACCCCACAGTTTCTTGGTAAAGGGAAGTATGGCTATCCGCCACCTCCACCCACCTTCTGGACCAGTAGAAATGCCATTCTGGTCTGGGCACCCTGACAGGGCCCAGGTGCCCTTCCCCCCACCCCCAGTTTTGTTTTTGTTTGTTTTAAAATTATTCTTTCTCTTTCTCCTTTCGTCCTTTATTTTAATTTTTTCTCTTTTCCTTCTCTAGTTCTTGTCCCCCCCCCCCCTTTTGCTGGTTCCCATCTTTTCTCTTTATTTCTCTTTTTGTTCTTCCCATATATTTTTTTTTTTTTTTTTTTTGCTTTTTTCTTAATTATTCTTTTTCTCTTGCTCTTTCTTCTTATTCCCTCCTACCACAGATATTGTGGGTGTTTTTCTCTTTGTCTTTTAATTTTTTTTTGTTAATTTTTCTTTTTCATTTATTGCTTTTGTGATTGTTGCTGTTTTATTATGCAGTTTGTGTTTATTGTTCCCCTGTATTTATTTATTATTATTCTTTTTCATTTTTTGTCTAACCAGGTGGGAGACAGATAGCATGCACACATGACCCAACTCTACACACACCTTCTCCATTGGATGAGGGCCACCACACATTTCTACACCAAATGATCAATGATAACAGCCAATACCAGCCCAACTCACTCTCAACTGCTCTTCATGAACAGCTAACAGAGATCTGTGAATACACTCTCATTCTCTTATCACACCAACCAGGAGGCAGATGGTGAATACCTAAGTGAAGCCAACTAACAAATAGAGGATCACAGTAACCCTGCTGACACAAATACATCAAAGCAAAATAAAGAAAAAAGAAAACAACCCTTGGTGAATCACACCAACATACAACCACCAATTAAATATAAATACAATTGCATCACAATGTCTCAGAGACAACTGACCATCCCAGTCCACACAAAACAAGATAAAGTAGTCCAAACAAGAGACCAAGATGCAGACCTAGAAAACTTCCCTAAGGAAGAAGTGGCATTGAAATTGCCTAATAGGGAATTCAAAAGAATTATATTTAGTTACCTTCAATAGATTAAGAGACAGACTGAGGAAAACACTGACAAAATTAAGGAAAACACAGACAAAACTCTAGAATAGTTTAGGAAAATAAGAACAGAGAGACAAAATAAACACAAAATTAGAAACCATACAAAAACAACAAATAGGAATCCAGAAGATTCATACTAAGATTTCAGAAATAGATAACACATTGAATAGGCAAAGGAATAGAATCAATTCAATAGAGACAGAATTAGTGAAATTTAAGACAAATATCTCAACACTATTTTGTTAAGGGACAAATCAGGAAAAAAAAAATCAAAACAAATGAAGAAAGCCTAAGATTCATGTGGAATACCATCAAGAAAAAGAAATCATTTGTAATCAGAATTCCAGAATAGGAGACAAATGTAACCACAGAGAAAATTGCTAAATATTTGTTGGAAGAGAATTTTCCTAATATGAGAAAAACAGGAAAATATCCATCCATTCAAGAAGTTCAATGAACACCAAATAGGAAACATCCCAAAAGAAAAGTACTGAGACATATCATTATCAAACTCACCAAACCAAAGACAAAGAAAGAATCCTGAAAGCAGCATGGGAAAAGTGAAGCTACCTACAAAGGGTAACAAATAAGACTAAGCTCGGAGTTCTCGGCAGAAACCATGTAGGTGAGAAGGCAATGGGATGATATATATCAAACACTGAAAGAAAAAAATGTTAATGAAGAATTATGTACCTAGCAAAATTGTCCCTCAAATATGATGGTGAAATTAGGATATTTCCATATAAACAGAAATTAAGGGAATTTATTAAAACCAGACCTACCTTACAAGATATGCTTTGGACAAAATCAGACAACAACCAACAATTAACCCACATGAGTACATAACCCAGAAACCAATGCAGTTATAGAAATATCCAAAGTAAAATAAGTTTACAAGACTATAAACGGAACTAGAGACATCAGTTGGTATAAATGAGGACAACTGCAAAGCAAAATAAGGGAATAAATAGTGTAGGCACAGAACTTCCAAATGGAGAGGAAGTCACTACAATTGCAACACAGACCACACTGTTCCAAACTTGGGAAGAAAATAAGAAATCACAGAGTAACCTCAAAGAAAAATAGCAAACATTTGCATCAAAATAAAAAGAGGAGAGGCACAAATATAGCAAATACTAACACAACCGCATTGAAGGAAATGAAAACAAAATTCATGAGCAAAATAAGCTTAGCACAGAAAATTATATGGAACAAAGAAATCAGCAATACCATGAAACAACACATAACAAAATGACAGTAATAAATTCATACTTGTTGATAATTACACTGAATGCAAATAGATTAAATGCACCACCCAAGAGACAAGAGAGTGGCAGACTGGATAAGAAAACATGACCCATCAATAAGGTCAAATTGGTTGATTGTATTGTTTAATTCTTCTGTGTCTTTGTTGAGTTTCTTTCCAGTTGTTCTGTCTTTCATTAAAAATGGTGTATTGAAGTCTCCTACTATTATTGTGGAGTCATCTATTTGTCTTTTAAATTCTATTAAAGTCTGATTTCTGTATTTTGAGGCTCTTTTATTGGGTGCATAGATATTTATTATGGTTATGTCCACTTGTTCAAGTGATCTTTTAATCATTACGTAACATCCTTCTTTGTCTTTTATGGTGGTTTTTGTGCTAAAGTCTATTTCATCAAAAATTAATATAGCCACAACTGCTCTTTTGTGTATTTGTGCTTGTGTGTGTGTGCATGTGCTTTGGGTACAAATTTATATACAAAACTTGTTTTACATTCAACAGTTCATGCACATCTGATTTCATTGCCTTGATTGCCATCCCCAACTGTAAGAAATTCTCCTCTCCTCTCCTCCCTGTGACCACCCCCTCCCTGTGCCCCTTTCATCCATGCAATCCTGTCTGTCCAGCCTTCCCTCTATGTGAATTTTTAATGAAAGATAGAACAACTGGAAAGAAACTCAACAAAGACACAGAAGAATTAAACAATACAATCAACCAATTTGAACTTATAGACAACTACTGAGCACTTCACCAAATAACAGTCCAATATACATTCTTATCCAGCACACATGGCACATTCTCCAGGATAGACCATATGGTAGATCACCAAAAAAACCTCAATAAACTTAAAAACACTGAAATACTGCAAAGCATCTTTTCAGATCATAATGTTATAAAATTAGAAACAACAACAAGAAGATCAATGGAAAAAGAGTGAACACATGGAAACTGAATAACACCTTCCTTAAAAACTACAGGGTAATAGAGGAAGTGAAAAAGGAAATTAAAAAATTCCTAGACTCAAACGAGCTCTGGTAGTGTAGTGCCTAAGGCACTTGACTGCTAACCAGAAGGCTGGTGGTTCAAACCCACCAACCACTCCTCGGGAGGAAGGTTGAGCAATCTACTTCCATAGTGATACTGCCTCGGAAACCCAAGGAGGGGTCACTATGAGTCAGGCCCTACTTGATGGCACATAACAACAACAACAGAATCAAACGAGAATGAAAACATAACATTACAAAATCTTTGGGACACAGCAAAACCAGTGATCTAAGAGCAATTTATAGCAATAAATGTACACATCGAAAAAGAGGAAAGAGCCAAAATCAACACCTTAACCCAACATCTCTAACAATTAGAAAAAGGGCAGTAAAAAAAAAAAAAAAGCCTATAGTCATCAGACGAAAAGAGATAATAAAGATTTGAGCAGAAATCAATGAAACAGAAAATAGAAGGCAATACAAAAATCAACAAGACTAAAATTTGGTTCTTTGAGAAGATTAATAAAATCGACAAACCAGTGGCAAACTTAATAAAGGAAAAGAAGGAGAAGATGCAAATAGCATGAATAAATTAATGGAACGGGCAACATCACAACAGAACCAACCAAAATAAAAAGGATAATATAAGGGTACTATGAAGAACTGTACTCCAACAAATTTGAAAACCTAGAAGAAATGGGCAGATTTCTAGAAACACATTACTTACCTATACTAACACAGACAGAGGTAGAAAATTTTAATAAATACATAACAAAAGAAGAAATTGAACAGGTCATAAAAAAATTACCAACAAAAAAAGTGCTAGCCCAGACTTTTTCACTGGAGAATTCTACTAACATTCAGAGAAAAGCTGACACCAATCTTATTCTAGCTATTCCAGAACATAGAAATGGATGGAATCCTCCCAAATTCATTTTATGAAGCAAGCATAACCCTGATACCAAAACCAGACAAAGACACCCCTAAAAGGGAAAACTACAGATCAATATCCCTCATGGATATAGATGCAAAAATCTTCAACAAAATCCAACAACATATCAAAAAACAATGCATTATGACCAAGTGGGATTCATATCAGGTATAAAAACAATCAGTGCAACCCATCATATAAGTAAAATAAAGGAAAAGAAACAAATGATCATATCAATTGATGCAGATAAAGCATTTGGTCTTTTTCATGATTTTGAGTTGTTTGTTCCACAAAAACAGCATAGGGTGAACATTTACACCAGGTAAATACACTCCTTAGAACAATCAACCATGGGAGATTAGAAGGGTAATATATGCACAGGGAGATAGCTCAGAGGACAGGAATGCAAGGGAATGAAGGACACAGCAAAAAGGTAGCCACAAGGAGGAAGTGGGAGGAGGGTTGTTGCATTGTGGTGATTGCAATCAACGTCATGAAACAAAATGTGTATGAATAGATGTATGGCAAATGAATTTGCTCTGTAAACTTTGACCCAAATCACAATAAAAAAAAAAAAATTAAAAGAAAGAAATGATGAGCTGTAGGAGACACCTGTGCTGGACCCTGTACCCCACAGGGTCCTAGAAGCCCACCTACCCTGAAGAGGTAGAAGCCAATGGCGAGGTGAGGCTTCCAGTTGCGGTGTCTGTGCCTGGGCTTCTGCAGCAGAGATACCAGCACATTGCAGGGATGCAAGGAGCCCTCTCTTGACTCAGGCTTCCAGACAGACAGCAGGAACTGCGGGTTCTTCCAAAATGTGCCTGGGACTGAATACAGGAAGTTGATAATAGGTTCCTGGTCCAGCTCACCAAATCACTAAAAGGTGACAGTCCAAGGACACACCCCTAGTATTCACACCCTGACACCTCCTCAACCTCAGCTCTGCCCACCCTCTCTCATAATTCTGTTCCTTCCGCATACCACACTCTTCATCTCATGTTCTACTCATTGACTGGGAGGTATTCTCATCCCTGTCACCCATTACTGGCACAATGCTTGCCACAGAGTGCATGCTCTATAAGTATTTGCTGAACATTATACTAACTAACTTATGTGCTCTTGATCCCAGAGGGATTTGTATTCTAGCAGCAGCTCCAGTCTTTGGGGAAAATACTTTGGTGGGAGGGGGAAGCCACAGCTAAGGCTTCCAAGGCTCACTGAGATCATATCCCACAGGTCTTTTCTTCCAAAGAGATCACTCCATTTCTCCATCATGGAGGAAGTAACAAAGTAACCAAGCCTATCCATTTTGAGAATTTAGACATGTTTGTTTCTTTTAACTTAGATATGCTGTGTTTTGTTTCCCTACTAAGTACCAGGAAAGAGGGGCCTGATAAATATATTTACTATTTCAATCTTGCCATTAAAGGGTGGTTTCTTCAGCATATCAATGGCCTTATCCTAAAATCTAAAATCCAAATAAACCAAACCCCTTTTTTGTCGAGTCAATTCAGACTCATGGAGACCAAGAAAGGTTTAACCCACCTTTTCACTATGCATGCAAGACTTCTGTTAGTCAAAAAGGGCCCTTTGTGCTGATTAGGAAGAGGTGCTCCTCTGGAAAGATGCACCTCAACAGGCTGACAGATTGACTGAGAGGACTTTGTGAAAATTAGGGGAAAAAGTACCAAGTGGACACAGTGCAGCTTACAGAGCTCACTGGCTCGTCAGCCTGATGTTCTGTGCAGGGTGTGAACTGCACAGACATGTGTAGTGGGTCTTCCCAAACCCTATCCTTGTTTGGAAGTGCTCCCATTTTAGACTTCAGATGCCCTGCCTCCTGTGTACAAGCTTACCTTGGGAAGACTTCAGTCTGCCACCAGCTGTGCTCCCCTTGACCCATCTCCCCTCCCGTATGGTGTATGTCCATCTCTTGCCAGTCTCCTGATTCAATAGGCCTGGAGTTAGTTTACAGATGACCAGAAGCACAAAATGTGCTTTAAAGTCCTGCAGTGTCATCCTGTGGGGAGAAAGAGAGTTCAATACAAAAGACAATGAGATGTAACCTAGTCATCAGAACCAAAGTGAGGTAGTGAAACCTGCAGGGGAAATCTCCGCCCTGACCCAGACCAAGGCTCTCCTCCTGCATGCTCTGGTAGAGAGCTGAGCTGGCCTCAGAAACATGGTAGTGGGGCTAGACCAGAGTGAGGAGTGAGGGTCCATCAAGGGGAAGTACTATTACTGATAAATCCTATTTTCTGGGTGCAAACAACTTACTACAGTGGCTGCTTAATGGAAAAGTTCTTGTTTTGTGGATCCCAGTGATAACAGCTGAATTGTGGAGCTCATAACTAGTCAATTTGTTTAAGTCGCACAAATCCATTCTTAATTATTAATTGATAAAATTTTGACCACTATTTGCTAACTCTGTGACCTAAAGTGTGTTATTTAAATTATTTCATGTTCCTTTTTCTTATTTGTAAAGTGGAATAATAGTTTCTGCAGGGCTCTGATTTCAGTGAAAAAACAAGAAAACCAAACTCACTGCTGTCGAATTGATTGGACTCATAGCTACCCCTCCCGTTGGGTTTCCAAGGTAGTATCTCTACAGAAGTAGATTGCCCAATCTTCCTTCCGAGACCCACCAGCCTTCTGGTTAGCAGTCAAGTGTCTTAGGCATTACGCCACCAGTGCTCTCATGTTCAGTGAAAGACCTTCAAAAAAGAGAGGGTCACAGCAGTCTGAACTGGATGGGTAATGGAGATCAGGAGGTTGTGGTAGGAAGAGTTGCAGTAAATGCTTATATGTGTGATGTAGAATATTTAAAAGGACAAATGATGAAAAGCAGAGGTAAAGGGGAATAAGTGGGCCTCATGTCAGACACCAAAAGATTCTATCAGTTCAGAAAGTCTTGATGTACATCCAGAAAATGGGGTGAGTAGGTGTGAAGTGCATGGAGGTAGTGTTACTCTGCTGAAGAGGATCATATGTCACGGGGCTTATAGTTTGGCAAGAGTTTTTAGTCACTTCATTCCTCATCTCCTTTTTAGGGCAGGAGAAGCAAAACCCTGGGATGAATGTATGGAGCAAGAGAGAAGAGTGGAGGCTAGAGAGGAGGAGCAGGCCACCCTCCCAAGACCTGCTCATGGACCAGGATTCATGCCCATAAGTTCAATAGCAATGAATGCTGCACTCATCACTGAAGCTGACAGTGCGCTTATGGGGCTATTTCCCCTGCTGCACTGTCATCTCCTAAAGGGTAGAGATTGTGTCTGATTGATCTCTGTACATCAGTCACCTGCCATACAAGAAGCACCCAATAAATGTCTGATGGATCAATGTCTAAATGTAAGCCAGAGCCTTTGTCCTAAATCCCCAAGTCAAGTACCAGAATTCTCCATCATCATCTTTCCTCAGCAGCAGAATCTTCTCTTTGGGACAGAGCAGCTCCCATGTACTTGAGCTGAAAACAGAAAGATGTTTCCATGTGAAAAGATTTGTGGGTGCCATGCTAGAAATTCTTTAGTAAATACTTTATAGTGCCATTATTTGTCATGATTCTCACACTGCTTTGCAGACAATAAAACCTCACACTCAATATTGTGAAATCAATGAATTGTATTAATTGTGTACTTACTATAAGCCAAATACTGGATTAGGTTCTTGATATGTTTTGTTTCATTTAAGGATAACAATAACCATGCAAGGTAAGGATTTTTGTCTCCCATTTTAGAGATTAGAAAATTGAGGTTAAGCTAGAGATTAAGTCACTTGCTTAAAGTTATTAAAAGTCAGACCTAGCATTTAAACCTATGTTGGCATTGTTTGTTTTCCAAATTCATCATTTTGGACTTCTACTTCTAGCCTTAAAGGAATAAGGTTATCCTTTGTCACCCTCCACCTTAAAAAAACCAAAAACAAAAAGCAAATTAAAAAAAATGGAATAACCTAGAAACAACTATTTTCAGACATTGGACAGCAGGCAGCATAGGACTGTGATTCTGAGACGAGGGAAACAAATGAGATGAACCCTAACGCTGCCTAGACTTTCTGCTTAAAGACAATTCCCTAGACAATGATCCAAGATTGTTGTGTGCTATTGAGTCAATTCTGACTCATATGACCCTGTAGGACAGAGTAGAACTGCCCAGTAGGGTTCCAAGGCTATAATTTTTACAGAAACAGACTGCCACATCTTTATACCTCAAAGCAGCAACTACTGACTTTTCTGTTAACAGTCAAGTGCTTAGCCACTCTGTCACTAGTCAAAACAGCCTAATAGTCTTGCTGAGTTGAGGAGACAGTGCCTGAAGTTTAGGGAGGCCAGAAGCCTCTAGAATTTGCTGGTCAGACTCCCTGATATGAGGTGATGATACAAAGAAAGAGCTCCAGAAATCTGTGTAGGTATTCCCTTGAGTTCAGCTAAGGTCAAGTTTGTACACACATAAAGGGAAAACCCACATTACGGACAAGAATAACTTCCTTACAAAGAACAATTTCCTGGAAACCGTAACCAGCACAGTTCTCAGAGCTCATATAGGGCCAGAAATCATTTGATTCCCTGCCAATCAGAGTTAAGAATTCTTATTGAATACATGGGACCTTCAGCAAAAATCTCAGAGGGGCCAACCCTTAATGTTGTTGTTGTTATTTGTCATCGAGTCGGCCCCGACTCATAGCGACCCCTCCTTGGGTTTCTGAGGCAGTATCACTACGGAAGTAGGAATGCCCAACCTTCCTTCTGAGGAGTGGCTGGTGGGTTTGAACCGCCAGCCTTCTGGTTAGCAGTCAAGTGCCTTAGGCACTAGTGGAGCAAAATTAGCTCTAGAGTAAAGCTGTCCTCTGTTGTTAGATGTTGTTGTTAGGTGCCGTCAAGTCATTTCTGACTCAGCGACCACATACACAGCAGAACGAAACACTGCAAAATCCCGTGCCAGCTCCACGATCCCTGCTATACTTGAGCCCATCATCACAGCCACCGTTTCAATGCATCTCATTGAAGGCCTCCCCCTCTTTCGTCGACCCTTTACCCTACGAAGCATGACATCCTTCTCCAAGGAATTGTTCCTTCTGACAACATGACCAAAATAGGTGAGACGAAGTCTGGCCATTCTCACTTCCAAGGAGCATTTCGGGTGCACTTTCTCCAGGACAGATCTATTAGTTCTTTTAACAGTCCATGGTACTTTCAGCATTCTTCGCCAGCACCACAACTCAAAAGCATCAACTCTTCTTTG